AGTTTCCTTCTCCTGGAGGTTGTCATTCTCATGAAGCTGCCATAGCCAGCCTTCAAGAACCATCTCGGAGGGGAGGATATAGCTCAGTGGTAGAGTGCATGCTTGGCACGTACAAGGTCCTAGGTTCAATCCCAAGCACCTCCATTAAAATAAATAAATAAATAAACAAACAAACAAACCTAATTGCCTTCCTCCCTAAAAAAACTCATCTTCACAACTGAACCTGTTTGGCTTGAGTGACCTCAATGGCAGCCCAGTTCATCTTCACAGAATGGATGGGACCTATTCATTCATTCCTTTACATGTTTACTGGGCATCTAACATATGCCAAGCACTATCCTAAAAAACAGTGTTAAAGAACCATGATCTCTGTCCTCAAGGTGTTTATAATCTTAGGCTGAATGTGTATTTGAGCAGAGGTGATAAAAAAATAATCAAGTGAAATACATAAATGTATCAGTATCCACTGTGATGGAAGAAGAAAATATATGAAGAAGGTTACCTTTAAGTTAGACAATCAGAGAAAGCCCCTGGAGGAGGTAACATTTAAACTGATTAACTTAGAGAAGCTTTGAGTAAAAAGAATAACACAGTTCACATTATTATTTCTATTAGGGAAGAGAAAAAATCATTTTTAGGCATATAAAAAAAGTTGGAGGTCTGGTGAATAAATACTATTTACAATGTAAAATGAAGGACCACTATAAACTGTTAAGACTAATGTTTATCAGTCTGCCTGACATTTCTAAAATGGTCTGTAAATTAGCAAAATCAGAGTAATTATGAAACATCCCAAGCTTTTGAAGAGTGATATTCATGTAAATGCATGAATTGTTCAGTATTTATCAAACCCTATCTCCCAGTCAGAGTGCTGAGTTCCAAGAATACAAAGACAAATAAAACGTGACGCCCATCCTTTCCCACTGACAAATATTAGCTAAACACCTATGATGCACTCACCACTTCCTCATGCTGGTCACAGTTTTTGCTTGTTTTTATTGTTGCTGTTTTGTTTCCTTACTTTATCAACAAATGATATGACCAAGCAATCGAGAGATTATGATGGTGGGCATAGTTTTAAAAAAGAATGCTTTAAATGTTGAAAATCCATTATGCTACAAGTTGAATCTCCTGCATTTCTTGTGCCGGTCTATGAAGCAAAAAAACATATTTTTATGGCTAATTATAACTTCCTCCCAAACCCCTTCCTCAGCAATACTGAATGGCAAAGTCTTAAATATCACCTTTATCTTACAAAATGGGTGAATTTTCTACAGTCCTGTGTCTTTAGAATTTTATTTGTAATTCAAGGTAATTATACGTTGTAGGCCTCTGGTACTTACAAGTTCAATCCTGGTCTGAAGGACCTCTACTGAAAGACACTCACATGCCCGTTTGTAGTGGGAGCAATACTGCATCCTTGACGCCGTGTAGTTCATTACAACTTTATAATGGCCTTTCTAAAACTCTTACAGAAGACAAGTCTCAAGAACTTGCTCACCCATTATGTCAACTCAAAACACACTGCACATCTATTGTTAATTCATCCCTCAAACAATGCAGAAGACTTTCTACAAGAATACACACTTCAGGGAGCTGTCCTCTCAAATATCAGTTTGTTTTAACTTAAAACAATAATATCAAGGCACTGTTGGTTGACTAGATCTGTAACCACATCCCAGTAATTATGTTTCAAATCTTCCCAAGAGTATCCTAATTTGGCTACGATTAATGTGTGTCCTTATGTCATCGCCTCCACACCTCTGATGAAATAGAAGTAGATACAGTTGTGAATGGAATACACAAAATCAGGCCTGTTTTCCCTAGTCTCACCTTTTATACTGAAAGGAACCTGACTGAATAAAACGTTTCATCAATGGCAGCCAATTTTGACGTTATAATACTTCAAAAATATCATCAATAAAGTTTAACATTTATTTTAAAAAAGAAAAGTAATAGAACAAAAGGCTAGGCTTCCCCCACTCCCTGGTTTCCCTAGCATTTAGGAGAACTGCCATAGATAAGTCTACAAATGAACAGCTGAGCGACATAATGTACAGTCCTAACTGGGCAGCTTCTAAAAAAATAGAAGGACTCCTTCCAACTCCAGTCAGTGTTCTTGATACAAAGAGAACATGTTTCTGTAACAAATACATTTAGGGCTTGATGTTTTACAGAGTAACTAAAGAAGGCCCTAGCCACAGGAAAAAATTATTTTTCCAGGATAGTAAATGTTCTGATTTACCATTTAACAGAAGTACAAGAAAAATGAAAATGCAAATTAAATGTATAAATATTTATGACTTTACCAGTGTATGACAAAGCCACCTCTGGCTTCTGGCGTTATTAACCAGGAAGAGAAGCATGGAAAACCACCATACATCTGTATATCTATTCAAATAGTTTCCTCCCTCCAAGCACTGGTTGGAGCAAAGTATTGATTCTGAGTCCAATGATATACATATAAGCCAGGAGAATTAACGTGAATGGATGAAAATGGACATTGGCTCCTTAATTATCTGCTTGGACAAGACAATTTTAAAACACCAATAACTAAACCATTTTAAAATTCGATGCCTCATTAATAATTACTAGTAAACAGAAATTTTCTGTTAACCTGTATGATTTCTAAAAGTCAAAAGTGCACTTTCACCATAGAACCCCTGGCACAACTTTAAGAACCGTCTTAAGAATTTCACATTAGCCCTTGTCCTCCAGGTAAACATCTGTGACCCTAAGTCAGTTATCTCTCCAAGCCTTAGTTGTCTTATCCATAAAAGCTGCAAGTCTCTGAACTAGTTAATATTTGAATTCTTTATCAGAAAGAAATCTACCTCAATCCCCAATGGCTGAATTTGTAAATGATATTTAATATCCATTCTAATTCTTTGTCATCATTCTTTCAAACATAAAAATACTAGTTCTGTGCATACATGAAAGAGTGGTGGAAAGAGAAGAGGATTCTTAAAGGGAACAGAAACCAGGTGGGTTTTGTTAATTAGGTTCCCCTCTGAAACCACGAGCCAGTATCAGCAGCTGCTGAAATTTACCCAAATGTAAGAGTGATTTTTTTCTTCATATCAAGACATACTCTTTCATAAAATGGTACAAGTCAATTTTCTAGGAATGTATCTTTCAGCCAGTTACACATTACTAACAACTAAAGGGGAAGGAGAGGTGGAGGCAAACAAAAGAGCATGACATAGATGATGCAAGTCCATTGCCTACACAGAGAAAGAACAACTTTTTGATATGATGTACTCAGGAAGGAGAGCCACCATGGGTGCCTACACCTGCCTGCTCAGGAGGCAAACCTCATGTAGGTAAATTGTCTTACGGGTCAGCAGATGCTGGGAATTTACTTGATGAGATGCTTTCTATTTTTTACAGCTTGTATTTTCCTTATGAGTGGTTTTATTCACCTCCTTTATTCAACAACTCTTATTGAGTACTTACTACATGCAAACCCCAAAGCTCAAGTAAATAAAGGTCTGAGTTGATGGTCTGGAATATTCAGGTGAATCTTGACATTTATTTTAGAGTAGTTCAGCCCCTCAGAATGTTTCCAATTCAAACATCAATACTAAACAATATAGATGCTAAGCTAAAGTGCCCTTGGAATTTTCCTTCCCTTCATTAAGTAGTGTGTGGTGAAGCGGGAGTAAATTAGAAGTGGAATAGGTAATTGGCTAAACCCTTTAGTTAACACAGGATGAAAAGTTTTTCTTCACCTAGAGAAAATGGTAACTTTAGATCACAAATGTATTGATAAGCATTACAGAATGCTAAAACTAGCATTTAATATGTGTTTAATATGTGGGAGACTTGAGGCTCAGGTGGTATGTTTTGGTCCAGGTTACAAAGCCAATGTCAGTGCCAGAACTAGAACCCAGGTCACCAGCAGGCATGCTCAACACGACTGGGTACTGGAGCATCCACGACATGTCCTCGTTGCTATCAGAAGTGGAACAATGGCACAATCCACAAAGAGCTGGACATCAGGAGCTCTGAGTTCTAGTCTTGTAAATGCCACAAGATTAGACACGATACCATGGAAAACTCTCACCATTTGTCTAAACCTCAGTTTCCTCATCTGTTGACATATGAACAGTAATTCACAGTGAGACAGTGTAGACCACAATAAATGAAGTCTGATCATTGTAAAAATGTTATACAGGTACAGAACTGGCACTGGAGGATGAAGTGTTCGTGGTGATTTCAGAGAAAATGGCTTCGACTCTAATTCCAGCCACTTATTACCTTGATAAATCAATGAACCTGTGAGCTTCACATTCCTCCTGTGAATATGTGGTTAATAATCTTTGCCCTGCCTGCCACGGAAATGGTCAGAATTAAATGCTTCTCAGAAAACACTGCAAAGCGTTTACAAATTGCAAGGCATTGATGCAAACCTAAGTATTATTATCAAATCCCTTTAAGTCTTCTTAATTTGGACCAAAATATAACATGGCTCTATTATTCATTTAACAGTTTTCCTTCTCAACTAAGATATCATTATATATCAGTCTCAGATTTACCAGCTTTCTCACTAGTCTTCGTAAGTCTCCAAAGAACACACCATTTCCCTCAGCTCAGAGATCATGCATGATGCTTATTCAACTTCTCAGTGGTATGGACTTGGCTGAGAAAGGTTTATTTTCTAGGGCCTTCTTTCAGTTGGATATGCTCTGACAAAAGCCTCTATGAACCCTATTTTACCTATCAGGTTAGAGTGGTAAGGAAACCAACCCGCTGGCTTTTCTCCACTCTAACAACTGCAGAACACTTCAGCATTTACATGGAACTAGACAGAAGTATGGGTGGATGCTCTTCACAGGAGGGGCAACAAGGGTTCCCCAAACCTACGGACAGTAGACTGCTGCTTCTTTGCAGGGAACTAACACATTCTTGGCCCCAACATACCGCTCAAGGGCCATTCACGTTAGAGCTAGGGCCTCCGGCAGGCTGAGAATGTCACAGAAAATAGTAAAAGGGGGGGGGTGTTTTTGGTCTGCAACACGCTCCCTTTAAAAAGCATCAGAGTAACTAGCATTTCCTTGCTGAGAACCCCGATTTCAGTAGATCAGAAGAAAGAATTCATCAGCCTATCCAAACAACTTCTCTGGAGCAGCTTTCTATCCAACCACGCCGGGCACCAAGAGACAAGTGAGCTGGGGGTGGGGGGTGGGGGGGTGGTAAGAACTGACAACAGGCTTATCTGCATAGATGAACGACATGCAGACATTTGTCGTCTTCTGTTTTGGCGACTCTTGGCACTTCTGGCACCGGTCTGGCAAATCTAACCCCGGCATTCTCCCTGTCTGGTGTCCCCACACTCCCACCCCCCGCCCCAGTTGCTGAAGCGTCACGTTCTCGGGGCTGGGGGAGAGAAGCCGGGGGAACGCACAAGTCTGTTACTGCATTTAGGCTGGAACCATACCGCACCTGTTCAATCCGGCTCCCGAGCCAGAAATGACCAGAACACCGACTCGCAAGACCCTCTGTGAGATCCCAGGGACGCCTAACAAGTTCGCCGCTGTTTAATACCGGGGGACGGTGATGGGAGACCTCTCTTTCTGCAGCGAAACTCAGGTAACTCCCCTGCTTAAGTGAACCCGGAGTGAACCCCGAGTGTCACTGCGGCCCCGGGGATCCAGGTGGTGAGCGAGTGGATGCCCACGGGAAGCGCGCAGCCGTGGCCCCCTCAGAATTAAGGTCCGGCTTTGGTGGCCACGCGCCCCCCTCCACCCTATCTCTAGCATAAGGCGAACAAAGTGGGAGCGTCGCGGGACCTCCAGGATTCACCAGAGACCCAGAGCCCTCAAGCCCGAGCCCAGAAGGAGGGTCGAGGGAGGAGGGGCCGGGGACGCGCAGGAAACTTACCTCACCCCGACAGCCTTCGGGCGCCTCCGGTGTCGAGACCAGTTGCGCCACACTCTGCAAGTTATCGGGACGTAGTCGCTGCCCTCGGGCGCAGGGAGAGCTGCGCAGACGAGGGGCGGGAGGGTCCGCGGGGCGGGGCCCGGGCCGGGGCGCAGCGCGGGGAGCGGGCAGGTGCCGGGCCCGAGCCGCGGGGCCAAACTCGCCCCGGACGCGCCTCTGCGGGGGCGCGCGGCTGCGAGTGTGCAGTGCGCGCGCGCCGCGGCCGGTGTGTGTGTACCCGCTTTCCCCTTCCTTCCCCGCCGGTCCTCCGGCCAGACTGAGCCGCGAGCAGCCGCCAAAGCTCCCGCCGCTCGGAGCGGCTCGACCGCCGGGCGCGGCCTGGTCGCGGCG